GTTGGAGGAGAGGCTCCCATGGTGGTGTTGGAGGAGAGGCTCCCATGGAGGTGGAGGAGGAGAGGCTCCCGTGGTGGTGTTGGAGGAGAGGCTCCCGTAGTGTTGTTGGAGGAGAGGCTCCCGAGGTGGTGGAGGAGGAGAGACTCTCGTGGTGGTGGTGGAGGAGAGGCTCCCATGGTGGTGGAGGAGAGGCTCCCATGGTGGTGGAGGAGAGGCTCCTGTGGTGTTGGAGGAGAGGCTCCCGTGGTGGTGTTGGAGGAGAGGCTCCCATGGTGGTGTTGGAGGAGAAGCTCCCGTGGTGGTGTTGGAGGAGAGGCTCCCGTGGTGGTGGTGGAGGAGAGGCTCCCGTGGTGTTGGAGGAGAGGCTTCCGTGGTGGTGTTGGAGGAGATGCTCCAGTGGTGTTGGAGGAGAGGCTCCCGTGGTGTTGGAGGAGAGGCTCCCGTGGTGGTGTTGGAGGAGAGGCTCCCGTGGTGGTGTTGGAGGAGAGGCTCCCGTGGTGGTGGTATAGAGGCTCCCGTGGTGTTGGAGGAGAGGCTCCCGTGGTGTTGGAGGAGAGGCTCCCGTGGTGGTGTTGGAGGAGAGGCTCCCGTGGTGTTGGAGGAGAGGCTCCCGTGGTGGTGTTGGAGGAGATGCTCCCGTGGTGTTGGAGGAGAGGCTCCCGTGGTGTTGGAGGAGAGGCTCCCGTGGTGTTGGAGGAGAGGCTCCCGTGGTGGTGTTGGAGAAGAGGCTCCCGTGGTGGTGGTGGAGAGGCTCCCGTGGTGGTGTTGGAGGAGAGGCTCCCGTGGTGGTGTTGGAGGAGAGGCTCCCATGGTGGTGTTGGAGGAGAGGCTCCCGTGGTGGTGTTGGAGGAGAGGCTCCCGTGGTGGTGGTGGAGGAGAGGCTCCCATGGTGGTGTTGGAGGAGAGGCTCCCATGGTGGTGTTGGAGGAGAGGCTCCCGTGGTGGTGGTGGAGGAGAGGCTCCCATGGTGGTGTTGGAGTAGAGGCTCCCATGGTGGTGTTGGAGGAGAGGCTCCCGTGGTGGTGGTGGAGGAGAGGCTCCCGTGATGGTGGTGGAGGAGAGGCTCCCGTGGTGGTGGTGGAGGAGAGGCTCCCGTGGTGGTGTTGGAGGAGAGGCTCCCATGGTGGTGTTGGAGGAGAGGCTCCCATGGTGGTGTTGGAGGAGAGGCTCCCATGGTGGTGTTGGAGGAGAGGCTCCCGTGGTGGTGGTGGAGGAGAGGCTCCCATGGTGGTGGAGGAGAGGCTCCCATGGTGGTGTTGGAGGAGAGGCTCCCGTGGTGGTGGTGGAGGAGAGGCTCCCATGGTGGTGTTGGAGGAGAGGCTCCCATGGTGGTGTTGAAGGAGAGGCTCCCATGGCGGTGTTGGATGAGAGGCTCCCGTGGTGTTGGAGGAGAGGCTCCCATGGTGGTGTTGGAGGAGAGGCTCCCGTGGTGGTGTTGAAGGAAAGGCTCCAATGGTGGTGTTGGAGGAGAGGCTCCCGTGGTGGTGTTGGAGGAGAGGCTCCCGTGGTGGTGGTGGAGGAGAGGCTCCCATGGTGGTGTTGGAGGAGAGGCTCCCATGGTGGTGTTGGAGGAGAGGCTCCCATGGTGGTGTTGGAGGAGAGGCTTCCATGGTGGTGTTGGAGGAGAGGCTCCCGTGGTGTTGGAGGAGAGGCTCCCGTGGTGGTGTTGGAGGAGATGCTCCCGTGGTGTTAGAGGAGAGGCTCCCGTGGTGGTGTTGGAGGAGATGCTCCCGTGGTGTTAGAGGAGAGGCTCCCGTGGTGTTGGAGGAGAGGCTCATATGGTGGTGGTGGAGAGGCTCCCGTGGTGGTGTTGGAGGAGAGGCTCCCGTGGTGGTGTTGGAGGAGAGGCTCCCGTGGTGGTGTTGGAGGAGAGGCTCCCATGGTGGTGTCGGAGGAGAAGCTCCCGTGGTGGTGTGGGAGGAGAGGCTCCCGTAGTGGTGGTGGAGGAGAGGCTCCCATGGTGGTGTTGGAGGAGAGGCTTCCGTGGTGGTGTTGGAGGAGAGGCTCCCATGGTGGTGTTGGAGGAGAGGCTCCCGTGGTGGTGTTGGAGGAGAGGCTCCCATGGTGGTGTTGGAGGAGAAGCTCCCGTGGTGGTGTGGGAGGAGAGGCTCCCGTAGTGGTGGTGGAGGAGAGGCTCCCATGGTGGTGTTGGAGGAGAGGCTTCCGTGGTGGTGTTGGAGGAGAGGCTCCCATGGTGGTGTTGGAGGAGAGGCTCCCGTGGTGGTGGTGGAGGAGAGGCTCCCGTGGTGGTGGTGGAGGAGAGGCTCCCATGGTGGTGTTGGAGGAGAGGCTCCCATGGTGGTGTTGGAGGAGAGGCTCCCGTGGTGGTGGTGGAGGAGAGGCTCCCGTGGTGGTGTTGGAGGAGAGGCTCCCATGGTGGAGGAGGAGAGGCTCCCGTGGTGGTGTTGGAGGAGAGGCTCCCGTGGTGGTTTTGAAGGAGAGGCTCCCATGGTGGTGTTGGAGGAGAGGCTCCTATGGTGGTACTGGAGGAGAGGCTCCC